GGGAGGGAGGGGCAGCCGAGTGAGTCCCTGCTCCTGCGGGGAAACTCAAAAATCTTGAGGGTTTTTTCTTTTCTTTTTCCCTTTTTTTTTTTCCTCAGTAGGATTAGAAGAAGAAAAGGTTAGTTGATTTTTCAAGGATATGGCAAATGGGGTTACGTGCTGTAGTTTGTTTTCAGCGGCCTGAGAGTTGTGATCGAATTTTTACTGCTAGTACTGTATAGTGGATGATGCCCTGATTCTCCTTTATTCCGATGTGTCTGGAGTTTGGCGTGGGTGGGAGGAAGTGGTGTAGTAGAGGAAGCATTAAAGATTTGTCCAGCCGGGACCTCTTCAGATCACGCAGAGGCCATGCTGCATGGAGAATGGGGCGGTGAACTTCGGGCGCCTGGTTTTGCCTCCTCCGAGTATGGGCGGGGTGAGTGCGGGCTCCTATATGCTATAGTTAGAAGTGCTGCAAATCGGTTCTGGTGGGTAGGGGAGGGCGGGCCTTAGTGAGGTGTGTTTCTACTGAATGAAGCAAGTAATTGCCCACACACCCTAAGGTAGCAGTCTTTCTCCTTGTAGCTACTTAAAAAAAATTTTTTTTAAATTAATACGTAGTTATTAACCAACGATTGTTTTTCTTGTTTTTGGATGGGAGCTGGCGGTAGGTAGCTAGCCTGCCTATTGAGTTTGAAGTGGCAGTTGAAGGTATTTTGGTAGTCACTTGTGGAGTCACCACCACATAGCTGGATAATCCCTTGTGTATGCTATCCAGTGAGTGGATTTTAGGATTGAGTGTTCCAAGAGAAAAGGAAAGCCTTTGTGGTTTCACCTCTTGCTATGGCTGTTTATCTGCCTGGTTGTATATTGTAAGGGTGTGGGACACTACTGTTAGTGGAAAGAATGTTTGGGACGCTATTTGATTTGGGGGACTAAATGTGCTTGGCATTGGCCAGAAAGCCGCCATTTCTGTACTATGTCCAGTTCAGGAATAGGTAGGTCATTTCGAAGATAGCCGCTAGTTCTAAAGATGAGAAAACTCTTATGTATGTAACGCAAGTTTGTATTCTAAGTCTGATTTTTCGCAATAGTTTAGCTCGAAAAACTCAGTGGACAAAGTACTTGAAAATGAAACTTTAGAGTCACTTTATTTTTTGATTTGGCTATCAAATGATACATAGGGCTAAATAGGAGAGTTCGTTCAATCTTTAACCAAAAAAATCGAAAACTCGATATGTAGATCTTGGTGCTTTGTGGACATTGCTTTTCAGCTTCAACTTTGTATTAGTATTTAGATCAAAGGTTTTTGTTGTGTATACCACGTTTAATAACTGCTACGAAAGTTTTTGAAATCTCAACAGTTTTACTCTCGTTGATGATCAAGACTTAAGGGAAATAAAAATTCAAATTTTCATATCTTGATTTTTACATTATGTCTAACTTTACCGACTCATCTTTCAGCTTCTAATTTTAACTGACATCATTAAATAAAACTTTTGCGTTAAAATCGAATTTGCTGCTATTATCGTTAAGATAATTTTTAAATGCTATAAAATAGCTAAGAAATACAGCCTTTTTCCTATCCAGCTAGTTTGTCCAAACGTAATCAAATTAGTCACCCATTTCCTGATCCTGGAAGGTTTTTATGAGGGGGAGAAGTGGAGATGACCATCTGACCTTGTTGGGTCTAAATATAGTGAGCTAGGAGTTCATAACCTGAGGTTTCATGCCTGGATTTCAGTGTCCAGAATCTTTTGTAATTGTATACAAAATTGTGAGCTTTTTAATTTGGCAGTAGCCATCATCCTCTGTAAGACATCTGGACCCAAAAACGTTAAGGAGTACTGGCTTAGCCAGTCAGACTTAAATGGCACTGGCTTTGAAGAAAAAGCAAAAGAAAGATTTTTATAATGGCTGGGTATCTAAAATGTGGATGTGTGCCAATCTTGGAGTGAATTCCTCTTAAAAGGATAGATAATATTGCATATGAACCAGTAGGTTTTAACCAGTACATTTTTGAGGTGAAGAGGCTTGTTCTCTTTTGTGATAGAATTTGTTTTTATTTGGGAAATAGTTGGCAAGCTTTGCAGTTTCTACCTTGTCAATGAATACCTGGAAATTTGGCAGGGGGGGCGGGGCTGGGGGGGTTCCTGATTGGCATATTACCATAACTTTTTTTTCCCCAGACCATATATTCAGGGAGTTTGTATACTTGTAATTTTAATCCCCAAACTCACTGAGGGTTGAAAGAAATAAATATAGCTGGGATAATTGAGTGTAGAAACTTAAGTTCTTTATTTTAGAGGTTAAGGGTACCAAATTTGTTAGACAGGTAGTTCCTGCTAATCATTGATACATACAATAGCAAAACTTAATGTACCACTTTTAATTTTTAGCATCTTCTTGCCTTTTAAGCATACCTTAAAAATGAGGGTAATGTGAAATGAGGGGAAGTGAAATTTTACTGAACTAGAACACCCTGCTTATGAAAGGGGGGACACGTCCCCTTAACTGTATCAGTCTTTAACAGATTCATTTTTTAATAACCTTAGGGTAATTTTAAATAAATGTTAGTAAAGAACAGTACAATTTCTCTGAGAAAAGTTGAATAAACCCTAATAATAATATGGTTCTGGAGTAGCTAAGTAACTTCAGCTTTTATTTACTTTTACTATCTCAGTTTTTAGGTAAGTTCTATAAAACACTCATTATTTGTGTGGACAAGGTTGAAGTAAAATAAGGAGTAGAAAGTTTTGACTGGTATACAAATTTCATAGATCTTACCCTTTTTTTCTTTTATTTTCAGTTATCTATGCCAGCAATTATGACAATGTTAGCAGACCATGCAGCTCGTCAGCTGCTCGATTTCAGCCAAAAACTGGATATCAACCTTTTAGACAATGTGGTGAATTGCTTATACCATGGAGAAGGAGCCCAGGTAAAGTAGCTGATCAAAACTTTACAACATTGCAGTGTAACAAAGTTGTTGGATTTTTAATATAATTTTATTTTTAAATTACTGCCATTTGAAAAGTATTCCATAGTTTGTATTATTTCAGAATTATATATTCTAATGAGAAATGTCTAGAGAAAGAAATTTTTTGACATAGCGGGATAATACTATTCTTACACTTGTTCTATTACTCTTAAACATTTACTCCATTTAATAAAAGAACACAATGTACTGAAATGTGTAGATAGGAAAGATTGTGTGCCTTATGTATATTTAATATATTTGGAGTTAACATGATTTTTTTTATCTTTGAAATGTTTAAATTACACATGTACTTCACAGATACAAACATGTTTTAAAAATCCAAGGATACCAAACATCTTTGTTATTTGAACTTTAGCATTTATGAAAATGGTACTGTTAATGTAGAGAATTATCTTACACATAATCTGTTTTTGATCATTGTAAGGGGTTCCGCCCAGTTGAAAGATAGATGAGGCAGGAATGTTGTAAGTTGTCTTAAATGTATATGTTACAAGAAACTGGACAATCTTGAAACTTTAACCTATGAAGCTAATCTCAAGGCTTTTAAATGAGTAAGTTTCTTTTCTGTTAGATAAAAATTCTTGTTAATAAAAAAAAGAATTTTAAATGAAAGGGAACTGTGGAAGTTGTATGAGTGAGGAAAAATTACTCTGCAGTGATTTTTGTAAGCTCGTTGTTCGTTTTATAGTCCTAGGAGCTATTGATCAGAGTTCTTGTTTCCAAAAGCATTCCTGAAAGGGTTTATATGTATTTATCACACATACCATGTAGTTGTTTCCTCGTGCTATACATTCAACATGGAGCTTTAAGCTTCATTTTAACGTGTGTATACAAAGCAGCTGCTTTTGAAGAAAGTATAAAAGGGTGAAATATGAAGTAAAGTTGGGCTCAGCTTTGAATATATTAGAGGCATAAATCTCTAGCCATTAGGAAAGTTGACATTTAATTTTTTCACATCATGCAGTTACTGCTGTTTAATTCTTCTTTAACTTGGTTTACAATATCAAAGTATTATGAATAAATGAAGAGACTGGTGTTCTTTAGGCGTATAACAGAAGTAGCGGTAATTTTTATAATGAAAACTATAATACTATACTTTTAGTAATGTTTCATAGTATTGAACTATTTTTTATTTGCTTTAAATTTGATTTTCTAATAAATAGTAAGTTTAGAAAAGTATAAATATTTTTTACTTGCAAAAGCAAAATTAACTTTCCCAGAAAGATTTTTGTTTAGATGTCATGTGACAAATCAGTTGCATAAACATAATCAATAAACTGAAGTTCGTTATAGATAAGGAAACTGAGGTTTAGAGCTTAAAGTCAGTTAAGAACTCTTTTTCTAAGAATCATGTCCTTAAACTTCTAGTTCAGTCTTATTTTTCATAACCACCTTTTTTGGGGTTCTTGGTTTTGAATACAGAGAAGTGGAAAACATGTTTTTAGTGTTAGCTATCTTAATTTTATTCCCAGTAAGTTTTCTAGTCATTTAGTATCTAATCTACAAACTATTACCTACTTTGCAAGAGATTGGAGGGTTAATGATGAGGTTTTTTAGGACCTGTTAATAGTGTCTGATACTTAGAAGGAATTCTGTTTAAAGAGTACATTTGGAAGTGTGAAGATTCAGGCATATGTGATGTAAACTCGTCGTTTATGTAAAAAGGACAGCGTAACTTTGGAGGAGAGGGATGGCTTTTTAATAAAATCTATAGGCAGAACTTCCACCTCTATGGGGGAGGTATAGTACGATATTTAGTGCTGTAACAGTAGGACTATCTTCTGTTAAAGCATTTTTCTATTTTTAGCCAAGTAGGCAGTGGGGTGGGGGGAGCAAGATAGGAAAGAGTTGGGTATTTTCTCCAATATTATGTTAAGTGTCTTGAACTCTCTTAAGCTATTGCTTAGCAACTAGAATGCTTTCAATGTTCAGTTAGTAACACAGGGAGATGCCAGATATTTCTCCCTCTTTATTTTCCTTTTGTGTCTTGTTAACCTCTCTGGAGTTTTAAGTTAATACAAGAAGATTTTATAAGGATAGTGGGATTAGGGAAAAATAAAGACACTAGTGTGGAAATACTAGCATTAACTTTGGAGAGTAAAACCACAACTACGAGAAAAACTAAAGGGAAACATACATGATTTTTGCAGAGATTGAAATGGTGATAGTGTGGAAAGCATTCACTTATGTAGAATGCTTATCACTTCAAAGGATGTGACAGTATCTTGACCAAATAACTTCATTAAGCCTGGATTTTTTAAAAATATATCCTGTTCTCCTGATACTTGTTACTATTTTATAGTCAAGTGTATGTCTAGTTAGAAATGAATATTTAGAGATTCAGTGACAGAATCAAAACTGCTAAAATGTGCTTTAGCCCTAGATAACTCATGTCACTACTCTTCCTACCTTTTGTTTTCTGCCTTTTGTCAGTTATTATATAGTACAAGTGTTGCCCCTTAAGTTATCAGTCTCTTAATGAAATCAAGTAAAAAATACATGTACAATTGTATTTTCCAAACTTAAAACTGTAGCTTTAGCCCCAGACCCTCAGGTGAAACCCAGGCAGCTGATATTTCTAAGCTCCATGATGGTTCTGGTGGTGTTGTCAAGGTACAGAACCACTCTAACTTTAGTTTTACTTAATGTTTTAAAGAAAACAATAAAGGTATGTTGCTGGCGATTAATGGGGGAAATCATGAATGTGATATTATAACTGCAACTTAGGAAAATCTCAACATCAAAGCTGAAGTAGGAATAAGTTTTGTGTGGGCTTTTTTGGGGTAAACTTAAATAAAAGCTAAATTTGAGATTATGAGATGTCTGTCAGAGATGAAAATAAGTATGTTTCTTTTACCCCCTTTTTGATGTTTTATAACCATAGATTTATGCACTTGAACAAGTAAATATAGTCTAATGGAAGGGTAATTGACACATTTAAAAACCATTAAATTTTTTGGCACACAACATGTGATAGAAATATGTGAAAAAAATAATTAAGGAGGATCCAGTTGAGCTACCAAACAGCCAATAAAGGTGGAAAAGATTAAGCTGTTACATCTTGGGGGGAAAACATTAATGGAAATACATCCTTTGCTCATACATGGCAAACTATACTGATTTTTAAAAAAACTAGATAAATGTCAACTTGGCTACATTTTTATAACTGTCCATTTCGGTCATACCTCAGTAAAGTAGGGGGTGTGGGGCTATATCAAATGGAAGTAGCAAATTGCAGAAAGAATTCTATATAATATACTATTTATATAAAATTTAGTAACTTCACAATTATATTTTTATGAAATTCATACACATACTCTGAAAATATGAGCAGGAAAAGAACAAATTCAAGAAAGTGATTATCTCTAAAGAAGGAACAAAGGAAGGAAATGACACTCGAGAAACTTATAAAAAGGGTGAACTCCATAAGTTTTAGATGTTAATGTTTAAAAGAAAAACAAATATGCTCTAGATAATGGCTGCATGGGTTTAATATTTCTTGATTTTGCATTTTTAAAAATTGAAAAGAGTTTTCAAAATGAGCTAGGATTTAATACACGAAATTAGAGGACATTCAAAAAATGGGAACAGGTAAGTTTAGGAGATGATACTTAAAGTCTACGAGTCTTAATCTTAATGATCTATATGTAGCTGTGGTATTTGATATTTATAGTGTTACTTAGAGCTAGTTTATATTTGTCTTCCAGTGCAATACATTTTTACAGATAAATTTTGTTAGAGATAGCTTTGTGGCTCTTGTAAAGCAGAGCTCTACCATTATGTAATTTGTCTAATTAGATGAATTTTTCTATGTTGCTTTTGGTTGATTGCAAGTGCTGAGAACTTATGTCAGAGTAGATCTTTGTTAACATTGGTTGAAATTTATTTCAATTTTGAGAATACCAAATAAAGCATATTACCCCAAAAAGACTATTTTGTTTTAAATGAATGAATATTCCCATTTTTAATTGAAGTTTGAGGGATAACGAACACAGCTTTATTTCCATGAAGACTAATTACTTGAGTGTTCCTGAAAGTTGGTAGAATCACTGTCTTGTTAGGATTTGTGCCTTGCTCAATACCATTTTAATAAATGATTCAACAGAACAAGTAAGCTGAAAAATTCTTTTTGTATAATATTTTAGCAAAGAATGGCTCAAGAAGTACTGACACATTTAAAGGAGCATCCTGATGCATGGACAAGAGTTGACACAATTTTGGAATTTTCACAGAATATGAACACGAAAGTAAGCAAGTGGTGGTTTTAAAATCCATTTATTTCTTCTTTTCTTCCAGTCATAAACTTTGAGGAAGGTATCTCATTTTTAGTATGAGCATTTGTTATCTCAAATCATTTAATATTGTTAACTTATTTCGAAATTTAGTCTTAAACAGAATTCTTGCAAATAGTCCTAAGAATTATGAAGCTTTGTAGCTGGGACTAGTATGCAAGGTGGCTTTTTTGTTTTTTGGGGGTTTTTTTCTTTTCTTTTTAGACTACGTATATAGTTCTAAGTAGCATTAATTCTGAATGTTATTCAGAGATGAAACATAACACCAGGAATTTTGGGCAAGTAATCAATATAATACAGGCTAGGCACCTCCAACACCAAGTTGTATGGGCAGTGTAAAACCCTACTCTGTAGTACCAATGCTTTTAATGGGACAGCACTCAGTTTTTATTTGCGATTGAAAATGTTATAATTGGGTCCTTTTTTCTTAAGTTTGAACAGAAGGGTTGATCAAAATGTGTTTTGACTGTTTTAGGCTTGATGATTCACACTTCTCTTTAAACTGCATTAACGTAATAAAATAACCATGCATGGCATTCTGTTTAATACACACAAGGTTTCTCCACTTGGTATACATCGTGTTAAAACAGAAAATAGCCATGTTCGCATCTGTTTCTGAAATCAGACTGTGTTAATTGACAGTTTTTAAATATTAATTAGTTTTGACATCTTGTAAATTTTAGGGCAAAAATACAGTTCAGAACTTCCTCAAAGTGCTAACCTTAAGTAACATAACAGTGTTTGCCTGTTTGCTTGCCTGGTAAATTTTGCTTTTTATACTGACAGACATTACTAATGTTTAAGTTGATTTATCAACAGTATTTTTAAAAACTCAAATTTGTCTTGTGAAAAATGAGATGATTAGAGGAACAGAAAGAAAGCAACAGGTAAAGAATTCTTCAATTTACATAAATTGCAAATGATTTGGTGCTAAATTTATGCACTATGACATTTGGCTTTTATGCAATCATTTTTTTTTTCTTTAAAGATGTTAACACTACCTGATATTAATCATAATGTTCCATTATGTTGATTGCTTGTAATAGGAAGAAAAGGGGTGTCTTCCTGTGCAACTGACACAGCTAGGCTTTGACGGCAGGCCTCCACAAGGTCTACCCTTTTGATTCCCTTTAACTGAATTCTGTTCATCAATTGTTTTTGTTTCATGGGCGGTGGGAGGGGAAAGGGGAAGTCAATGCATAAAATAAGCATTTCTAAGGGCTCAGTAGAAATTTCTACCATAGGGATCATTTCATGTATTTTTTTCATTTAGTCTTTGCTGTTATCTGTCCCTCTTCATAACTCAGCAGTCGATTTCTCGAATCCTGAGATGTTAAAGCAGAAATACAATTCTTTAAAGTGATTAGATTATTTCGATATTTTCAAAGTAGTCATTTATCATTGGCCTTCAGGGTTTGGCTGTCACTAGAGATTTTTGAATCAAGACTTTTTTTTCCCCCCTCCACAAAGAAATGTGAATTCTCTTCATGTGTACAGCCTTGATGTCTAGGAGAGATTGGATTTTAGGATAACGATGCTGATCTATGTATTCCTTTGGCCTAATTAGTGAAAAGCTAATATGGGCTTCTGCCTCAGGCCCCTTGGCAGAAAGAAGCAAAAATGAGTTTATCTTCTGCAAGCTTATGCTACCTTTTTACAGTTGGAGAAAGGACTAGAGGTTAGTAATTTATGTAACAAAGTGTCACATAAAGGAAGTAAATAAATATAATGAAGAGTGTATCTTTCAATTAAGTGTAAGATAAAACATTGGTTAAAATATGGTAATGTTATAAAAATTAATTTTTAGTGGTACATTTATGGCTAGTTTCATAATTTTTTCAAGGTCTTTTTAATCTGTTGAGAATTAGCAAGAGGATATTCCATGTAGTAACATACATTGTTTTGACTTCTTAAAACTGGACAGACTGATTTCATGTCTATCCAATTAAAGTTTTTAGAGCAGTATGTTTTCTAAAGTTAGTTTAGAATTTCAGTCTATCGGAAACTTCCGTTTTTGCTTTTATTTACATTTTCCTGAGACCTAGACCTAAGAGAAGTATAGATAAAGAGGATAGAAAGCTTCACTATTTACTGCTGGTTATGAAACTTCACTGACATCAAATTTGTATTTTCAGAAATTTGCTTTGGCCTTGTTTTTATTTTGGAAGTCTTTTTAAGGAATGTTACGCAAATGTAGGATTTCAGTTGAAATTTTTCCTGAAAAGTATGAAATGTTAAAAGAAAGAAAACAGCAAAAACATTTACTGTTTGAGCACAGTGTAGTTTGGGACAGTCTATATTGTGCTTTGAATAAAATGAGCATTCATTCACATGATCCCTTTGGTTGAAATACTAATGCTCCTATTTTATTGTGTGATGACTAACCATTTTAAAGATGAACTCTTATTCTCAGCCAAAATTTGCAATCTGAGGTTACTATGTCTATATGTGAGTGAGTTTACCTTTCAGGTATTGTAGCTGATTCTTCCCTAATTCAAACGGTAGAAACATACCACAACAATTTTGTCCTTTTTCTTCCTCCTGTGTATCCACACTAATTGGTCATGATAATAATTTTGGGTTTTAACCCCTGTAGTATTATAAATTGTCATAAACATTCTTGACTATTTAGAGTGAGTAATCAGCAGGAGGGAAAAAATGGCTTGAAAGTGGTATCTATTTATTAAGTTTCCTACATTTTTAGTTGTAACTTTTATATTTAGGAATACCTGAAAGGTAGATACAGATTGCAACAGGCATTTGTATATTATTTTTGACTGTGCACAAAAGTTTATCTTTAAATTAGTAGAAATAGCAACTATAAGGGTGGGGTTAAAATTTAAAATAAAACCCATGGGCTGTCTTGCTGCTCCTTAAGTTAACACACCAGTGATGTTTGTTATCACTTTCTATAGAAAGTATATGTGACAGTACTTTAAGCTTGGCCAAGAGCTTACAACTCCTAGAAGATGGTAGGAAGCTTGAGAGCAAGCATCCAAGCTGCTAAATTCTTAGGAGCCTGGTCGTGTTAAAAAGTACTTGAGCCTTTGAGCAGTCATTTATGCTGTGAATTCATATCTGGCTGATATTTTTCCTTCTACAGATAAGCCCATTTGGCTGCAAAAGGGCTTTTTATTTGGTTCTTCTTCCTGGTGTGAGCATGTATAAACAGCAGGACGTTAAATAGAGTAATGAACAATAAAATGAGGAAAATGCATGAAAACTCAGTATATGGGTGAATAGATCCTTGTTTAATATATGTAATTAAACTTGGTAGCATAATGTTTTTGAAACTTTAGATGTAAATGTGAATGTCTGTCCATTTGTGAATCCTGAAAGTTGCTAGTCTTATAGCAGTATATTCACATACTTCTGTTATCCAATTTTCAGTATTATGGACTACAAATTTTGGAAAATGTGATAAAAACAAGGTGGAAGATTCTTCCGAGGAACCAGTGTGAAGGTAGGAAAAGGTTTTACAGAATTGTAGATTCTGAGCAATTTTATTAATCCTGGCAGTTTTATTACAGTTGAGTATTTGCGTGGCAGGTGTATTGAATATAGTTTATGCGCTAATGGAGATGACTTATTTTATCATGTGGCAAGGCAGGTTGTTCATAAGGTTGTCTTTTGGGAAGAGGAGACCAAACTGTTCAAACTTTTTACAATTAATATTGTGATGGAAAATATGTATCAACTCATATTGGAACCATGCCTGAAGCAAATGATATTTGAGTATGTGCCCTTACACATTATTTTAAATTTACCAGACAGTAACTGACAGGTAATGAATATTTTAACACATGGAATAATACACAAATTTGAAAGAACAAAGAAAAAAACCTTTTCTTTAAAAAATATAACAAACCTTTACCTTTTGAATTATAAGAGGTTGACATCTAAAATAAGGAAACAGAACATGAAGATGTATTGATGGCTGGTGTTAATACAGGGTGGGGCAAAAAGGTACGTTTATAGTTGTATGAAACTGAAATAATTTTTTATTATGGGTGGGGGGGGTTTGTTTTTAAGATTCTATGTATTTAGAAAGAGAGAGAGCAGGTACATCAGTGTGAGAGAAACATTGATTTGTTGCCTCTCCCATGTCCCCAAATGGGGACCTGGCCCACCACCCAGACATGTGCCCTGACTGGGAACCAGTGACCTTTCAGTTTGCAGGCCAGTGCTCAATCCACTGAGCCACACCGTCCAGGGCTAATTATTATATTATTTTCCACACAAATAATTGTAAAGCTCCTTTTACCCTACCCTGCATTTAACTTTTCCCTCTAGTATTTTGGTAAAAATAGTCGTAGTTCAAGAAACCCTGGGGTAAAGTTAGTCTGTTGGAATTCTTTGCATTTACTTCCATTTTTCACATACTGCCTTTATTGCCTACTTTATATCACTTTTTAATCTCTGAAAAATATAAATAGATGTCTGGACTTTATAATGGGGTATGCTACATTTTCTTCTATGTAAAATAGTCCCCTTTCTTTGACTATTGATCTTTAAGATGTTGTCTTTCGCCTACTTTCTCATGTCACCTTTATAGTGGAATAGTGACCCAGATTTATTCAGCTAGTCTAACTTAAATCTTGACATCTATCTTGCATGTTTAGAGGTAAATAAGACAGGCTTTAATGCCAATATTTTTAATATGCCAGAAAGCAAAGATTAAGGATGATAGTGTAGGCCCTGAATGGCGTGGCTCATTTCGTTGAGCATCATCTTGCAGAATGGAAGGTCAGTTGTTCAGTTCCAGGTCATTGCACTTGCCTGGATTGTGGAACATGTCACTGGTTGGTTGGGTATGTTCGAAAGGTAACCAGTTAGTGTTTTTCTCTCACATCAGTGTTTCTCTCCCTCTCTTTCTCCCTCCCTTCCCCTCTCTCTACAAATAAATATGTAAATAATTTTATTTTTTTAATAACGATAGAGCAAGAGGAAATTGTCCCTCCCAAAAGAGAGACTCCTATTTCTTTTATTTTGGGTTGAAACCATTTTAGATCATGTTCTGTCACTGTGGAAGTTAAGTGCAGTTTGACTATGTGGTCCAAGTAGATCCTTTGTACTTACCCATCACTCTTTAGGGACTTCGATGCTGTCCATGTTCCTTTTATTTATGGTGTTTGATACCCCTGGTGTAAGCTTCAAATTTAACTTTGGCCATGGCCTATGAAACCAAAAGAAAATGTTTACTTTTTACTTTTTATAGTACCATTTTACTACAGTGTAATTCCCACTTGCTTCTAATAGAAACACCTAGATCCTTGCTTCTTACCACATAAGGATTATGCTAGATGATCTTCCATAACCTTTTCCACATTTACATTTAAATGATTGAAAGTTAACTAGCTTAACAAAGTCATGGTTATATTTGTTATTGAAAAACTGAGAGGCTAGTGGTCTCCCTGAGGATTTGACATTTTTAGCTTTCTACATGAATAGGAATGGTATGAATGGTTATTCTGAAATCATGAGAGTTCCCATATATTAATATGTAAGTATTCAATATAAAATACTTCGATGGGGCATAAGACTGTTTACTTTTGCAAACTTATCATAGTTTGAAAAAACTGACAGTCAAGGGGTGGTGATTTATTCTGCCTGACTTAAACTTCTGTATAATTCGTGTGTTCCTATTCTGTGTTGGTGAGAAGCTTCTTTATTTCTCTGCAAGCTATATTTATTTTAAAAATATTTATTAGAATCACATTTTTCTGTGCATTTTCCTTCAGCAGTAGTGTTAAGATTAAGTGTGGTGTAAACTTTCTAAAAGTACCTGAAGTTACTTTATCACCCGTTTATGGTTGCCATTGTCAGTGAAAACATTCCATGGAGGAAAATGTGTGGTATAATTTCTAGGGGTATTTTGAGAGGTTCATTGTTGGAAGACCATGCAAAATGGTTCCCAGAGAATGTTAGTGAACCCTAGATTTACATACGCAACAGCAACCTTGCACGATGGATTTAATGATGCATGTTTTGAGGTAATTGCTCTCATAAAACATTGGAAAATAAATTCAGTACTATATTTTATAATTTTTTTAAGGTTTTATTTATTTATTTTTAGAGAGGGGAAGGGAGAGAGAAAAACAAGGAGAGAAACTTAGATGCACAAGAAACATCAGTCAGTTGCTTCTAGTCTGGCATGCCCCCAACCCGGGGTACCTGGCCAGCGACCCAGGCATGTGCCCTGACCAGGAATAGAACTGGCAGCATTTTAGTTGCAGGATGATGACCAACCCACTGAGCTACACCAGTCAAGGCATAAAACTCTTTTTAAAATTGATTTGGGGTAGGGGGGGTGTGGAGAAAACACCTATTTGTTGTTTCACATATTTATGCATTCACAGGTTGATCTTGCATGTGCCCTGAGCAGGTAATGAAATGGGCAATGTTGGCGTATTGGGATGATGCTCTGACTGGCTGAGCTACCTAGCCAGAACCTGTAAATCTTCTTACTGTTAATCCTGGGGGGCTTCTGCAGGCTTCGGATTTTGTATTTAGCAAAATAGGCTAAATTTCTGAGCATTAATTTTAAGTAACTTTGGTATAGGAAATGAATTCGTGTAATCCCCCAAATATTGTACATTTCTTCTGTCTTTAACTGTCATGTCTTGTGAAGCTGTTACCACCACTTTTTACTATGTACATCTATAGCATATATATTTATTTATCTGGGGCATATATTAATCTGCTTCGTACAAAACACTGTTAGGTATTAAGACTATATAAATGTCCTTCAAACAGAGTGCTATGGGTCAAAAGATAAAATACTATATGAACATTAAATTAGTATATAGTGAGTTCTGAATGTGCTATAAGAAGGGGATACTAACTCAGTTGGGCCCTTTAGACAATCTTATTCACACAAATTGCAATGCTTGTATTTTAAAGAAAAGATTGGTTTGGCTACACAATAACAAACCAGAATAAGTTTTGTACATTCCCCCCCCCCCAATCTAGGTAATTTATTTTTATCTGATTTCAAGTGCTTATCCATAAGCATATTTTAATCTTCACATGTTCTTTTAGGGCAGTGGTATTTTTAATGTGGGCATCTTGTCTAAAGCACTTTGCCAGGACAATCTCTGACAATTCTAGACTGGGTTAGATGTATTTTGCTAGGTGTTCTCTTAGTATATCCTTTACCAGTAGATTACAGATGAATATAATTACAGTCAGCAAAAGACACACAAGTAACAATTACTTACAAGTAACAATTAAGGATATTTTTTAAAACAAGTAACATTTTAGTTTAAAAATGACCAAGGGAGACACAATCTCATAATAAAACATTTTAATAAATTTAGATTTATGTAATAGAAAATTTAGTACATTGCTCTGGCTTTTCTCATTTTCGCTTTAGACCAGAAAAAATTTACTATTTGGAGTCTCCTTCACCCTCCACACTGTAACATTTATCACATTTGGCTGTCATTGTTTTCCTCCTGTCCCCCAGAATGTTAGCTTAATGGTGTCAGGGATCAGAGAATATTTATTGCAGTCTTACCGCTTCGTATATAGGTGTCGGTATATATGTATTCAGTCACTGAATTTTATATTGTTGAGTTACCCAATTTACTTCATTCCTCTATTTTAAGGACCTAAATGAAATTTCCCAATATTTTTGCTCTTTTAAACTACATGTGTATAAAATTAGTATCTTTGCCCTGGCTGATGTGGCTAAGTGGATTCAGCACCAGCTTGCGAACCAAAGGGTTGCCAGTTCGATTCCCAGTCTAGGGCACATGACTGGGTTGTGGGCCTGGTCAGGTCCCCATAGAGGGCATGCAAGAAGCAACCACACACTGATATTTCGCTCTCTTTCTCTTTCCCCCTCTCTAAAAATAAATAAATATATTTTTAAAAATTAGTATCTTTGAGGTTAAGGGGTTTGGGGTTTTTTTTTACATTTTTTTTTATTATTTTAATTTATAAATCATGTTAATTCTATTACAGTTGTCTCAGTTTTTACCCCTTTACCCCACTTCACCCATCCCACTCCGCCCCCCTCTACCATAGTCAATTCCCACTCTGTTGTCCATGTCCATGGATCATTCATACATGTTCTTTGTCTAGTCCCTTCCCCTTCTTCCCACCACTGTCCTCTTTCCCCCTCCCCTCTGGTCACTTTCAGTCTGCTCCATGTTTTCATGCCTGTGGTTTATTTCATTCATTAGTTTATTTTGTTGAATAGAGTCCGCTTATAGGTGAGATGGTATTTGTCTTTCATCAACTGGCTTATTTCACTTAGCTTAATATTCTCCAATTCCATTTGTCACAAAAGATAGGAGTTCTGCCTCTCTCTTTCTTAAACGCAGATTTATTTTATTTTTTTAAATGTCAAAGTTAATTATAAAATACCTAGAAAATTTAAAACCCATTATAAAGTCTCAGCAATTAAACCAACATGACACCAGCACAGAAATAATCAGTCAGATCAGTGAAATATAA